TCCGTCATGCAAAGTTGAAACAAAACTGACTCTACCATGTGATGTAAAACTGTTATCATTGTGCTATTTCTAATAAGGTTTACTTTTAATCAGTCGATCATCTCAGCTAGATATTGAACTGCTACATTAGAGTTTCAGTCGTTCAATGTTACAAATTAGACCGATACTAGTTATTAAGCTGCTTAGTTAAGCCACTATTTAAGTCATCATGTCTCAAGAAATCAGTTAAAACGGATTTTAATTGTTAACAGAAAAGTGATACTTTTTTTTCTTTGTGGGGGGCTTTTGCAGATGTTAAATCTTATCTCTTTTTTTTCTGTGGTAAACACTGTTTTTTGTGTAGTCACTGCATGAACTGGTGGCTACATGTATCTAGTGATAAGATGAATGATTTGGTATTTACCTCAGCCAATGAGAATAGTTCTGCTCCCTCAGCAGTTTTTCCCAGCTACGATCTTTATTTATTAAGGGGCTGCCCTAGTTAACAAGGTTTTTGAAACAGGACCTAATTATCTGGAGAGGTCTCCTTCTTTATACAACAAACACCCTGTGATCCAAAAAGGGAATCACATTATAGAGTACATTCATGCAAAAATGAACCCTTGTTTTACTCTCTCTAGGGTGTGTCTAAAAGAGCTGCAGGCATAGTTCACACTATTTCTGGATAAGTAGCTAATCTGTGGTTCTTATTCTCTATTTATCTCTATAAAAAGATATCTGCATGCAAGTGCAGCTAAGAGTCCCTTCCAGAAAAAATATTTCAACGTGAGTGACAGATCTGCTTGATGCTGATGATGACAAATCAGCGTTTTGATTTCCACACATCCTGGAATGAATCCTGACCGCCATTCAGCAAACAAACATTATAAATGGTGTTTCCTTCCCCTCTTGGAACAGACTAACAGAGCTTTCATTTTTACATGTTTACCAATATGTATCATGGTGGTGTTATCTTTGCAAACGTAAGTCCCAATAACTGTAAGTAAGTCACAGGAAAATATGTTTCTTTATCAGGATTATACTGCTAAAGAAAGCCTGATTGAAGCCTCTGTGCAACTTATTATTTACAGATATACTGAAACTCACCAGAAACAGATGAAAGGGCGTTCCCCTTTAGGATGTTATGAACCAAGAAATGGCAGCGTTTACTTAGCAGACATACCTGTGGGAAAGAACTCCGCCTCACATTTGATCGGTTGCTGCTCAATTTAAAATGCAGCACAAGGAAAAAGAAGTCTTGGCTAGAAGTCGCTATTATGTATCAGGGTACAGCCATTCATCCTGATACACATACACGTTACCATGGTTACAGACTGATCTTTCATACATGAAGAAGATTGCTCCCTTCACAGCTCCGATGATCAACAGATGGAGAGAGTACATTTGTATCGTAATGCAGCCTCTGAAATTACACATTTTATCTAAATATGTCACTTACAGATTTTTTTGTGTCAATGTCTCAGCTCTCTACGAGTGAAGCTACTCAAAGAGAGGTCTGGTGTGTCCTCAGACTGGGACACAGCTTCTTTATGAGCTCCTGAAGCATAAGAAAAACTTGAGCATGAATCATTTATTGTTTTATAAATGGCATAAAGTATACTTGAATGTTTCCTTCTAGACACCCTCCCACGTATTGGAGGGTGTAAGAAAATAGAAATTGTGTGACTGCAGAGATGGGTCGAAAAAGCTTAAATAAATAATAAAGAGAGAGCATCTCCTGGCCTCTCTCAGCTGGTTTAGAGTCTACATGTGTCCGGTCGGTGAAGCATCATGCAGCTCGTGTCGGTGACCTTTAGGCCATGTTAAAGGCCACCTAACCATAACAGCGACAGTTACCATGACAAAACAAGATCCATCACGGGCTCTGCAAGAAAAACTGACAGCAGGAGACAACATTCAGTCAGTCCCATAAACGAATGGCACATGTATCTCTGTTCCTTTCTTTGCTGTAAGAAACACCCAAGAGTTTAAAGAAATGTAGGCAGAGAAAGTTATATTCTCTCTTAAGATGAATCTGCATTGTACAACTGTCACTTTTAAGCACTTTTAAAGGGCAAAAGTGCTTCAAAGAAAATAAACAATCAAGCAAACAGTTAAAGCATTAACTATTATTTATCTAAATTAAACAGTTTAAAAGTATGACACATACTAGGATTGCACAGAATCTTATATTGGGCTGAAGACAAAGACTGTATAAAACATGGACGTAGGCTCAGTGATGTCACCAGTTGGTTTCTGAAGCGTAGTTTAAAAGCCCAACAATGGCGGTCGCCAAACTGTAAGTTGACCAAAAAGTAAGTTTGAGACAGCTCAAAGACGTGGAGTTGAGCCTCCTGGTAATCAGCTACAACAAACCAACCTGTCAGTCAACTCAGCCACGCCTCGATTTATGCAAAACTCCAATCCATATGATCAAAACAGATGAGTTGTAAAAGAAAATCAACCCCTTTAAAGCGTGTGCAAATAAAAACATGAACTTTCAACGTGGGTGACGTCTATCAGATATCAAAGAAAACAAAGTTTATAACACCGAAACATTGTGATAAACTATCTCAGTCATACCGCTCAACAAGCAGCAACCCTGTTGATCCACCGTTTGTTTATGTTTGTTTATGTTGACTCTTCACCTTTAGTCTGTTCTGTTTGCGCATATTAAGATTATTTTCTACGTTCTTGTATTTTATTTTATTTGCCTTAATGGCTGCCTGCTGTGTGCATTGTGTTTGTCTTTTTATAGTTTGTAAGCTGCATAAAGCTGTATGTTTCTTTAACACCATTTCACAAGGCTAATTTCCCCTTTGGGACAACTTGGTATCTAAACCAATCTTATCCTAACTTCACAATGTTTATCTTCTATATGCAACAGTGCGTATAGTTCACTGGATGAGCGCTGTTGGAGCTAACATGGCGGCATCAGCAGGACAATGACATCACTCCATGTCATGAATTCTTCATCCTGTCATTCTGCTACACATGATTTGTGTAATAGGGTTGTGCACTGAGCCCATGCAGGCACAGATATGAAAGACAACTGGAGCAAACGGTGGATCCATCCAAACAAAGCGACTTACATTACTGAGATGGAATTTTCCAAATTTTTTACAGCATCCCTCAGAGACTTTATACATGCATGTGTTCGGGTGTTTTCTTGCCCTGGATCAGCATCAGCAGTGGCACCAATCTGTGCCCACGAACCGCAGCAGAGATTCTAAGAAACATTTGAAATCGCCTCCACCCACTGTAGCTGAATGTGAAAAGGCCAGCGGGGTCCAAACCAATCTGCTGAGACTTTGACACGCTTCCAGTCAGGGACAGCAATCCCCCACGATTCCCAGTGAACCAGAAGGAAGCCCTTAAAATTGATTGAGTTAATATATTGGTTGGGTCTCACCGGAACAAAACACAGATGAACAAATGACGCGGGGATGGAGAGGAGCTCACTGTGAGTCCTAAAGCTCATTACAGAGACACACAGCTAGCATCAGTTTCTCAGGGTCCACTGGTCATACTAATGTTATTACTGCTATAAATTCTGACAACTGAATGTCAATGGGGGGAATGCCGGGTGTCTTTCTCTCTGTGTGTGTGTGTGTGTGTGTGTGTGTGTGTGTGTGACCATATTTCCTAACTGCCAATAATAAAAACACAGCCTGTCCGCTGTATGTACACTTATCTCTGGAGTCCACTTTAAAACATTTCAACCTGCAGTAAAGACATTTCCTCTGTCAGTTATCTGTGTGTTGTTGAATACTGGATTCTGATTGGTCAATTACAGTGTTCTTTTCTCTGTGATTTCTGTCAAGCGGATCTCTCAGTAAGGACGCAGCTCTGATCAGAGAGGTTCGAGGACCCTGCTCAAGGTATCAGTGCACAAAATGTACCGTCAATCCCTTATCTTTGGCAAAAAAAACAACAAGAAGGAAAGAGCGCAGCAAACTACAACGATTCAAAGAACCGAAAAGCCAATTAGAGAGAAAGTGCCAACATTGAAGAAGAGACTTTAAATGACCATAAAAGAAATGATGGTTTGGACTATGGCAGTGTTTAAAGGCTGGTTAATTTAGAAGAAAATGTCGACTCTCATCGACGGTTGTAAGGCAGAAAACATTAATCATGTGCCAGAGTGATCCTCGCGATCTAAATCACCTCGTCTGCATCAATTTAAATTCTCAGTTTTCAACCCAGTTTCCAGCAGAGTTTGGTCGCTGTGGAAAATGATATCAAAATAAGAATGTGACGATTTGCACACTAAACACTGAAACCCCATGTCTACAGGAAAAAAACACAAAGACAACAAATCTAAGAAATGTCATAAAGTTGATGCAAGCACCAGGTCATGTAACGGCTGGAACAGGGTCATGTTTACAACTCATCCCCTCTTTCTATAACAACACTCCCTCTAAATGATCACATGTAGCCAATGGGGTGCCGGTAGCCTAGTGGTTATTGCACGCACTTCATGTATAGAGGCTATAGTCCTTCAAGCGGGCAGGTTCGAATCCTTTCCCGCATGTCATTCCCCGCTCTCTCTCTCTCTTCGATTTTTTTCTCTATCCCCTGTCTAATCTCTACATGATAAAGTAAATTAAAAAAAAATTATCACAGCCAATAAGGACACCCCCCCCTCCCGACCCCAAACGGGAAAACCAGTATATATAATGGACAGATGGATGGATGTATAAATTCTGAAGGTTACAGGAGATTGCTATGTGTCAGAATCCTGCATCATACTACATCATCGTTCACTTGAAATGCACCACCCACTTTCAGCCCTGTTGCAAATATATATATTGATATATAAAAATATATCAGTTTTCTCTTCCAGGTTTGAGTTCACTTAATAATACTAATAATAAAATATAAAGCTTACTTGAGGTCCTTATTAATTATTTGAATTTCCTGGTGTTCAGATAAAATATAGATGAGACTGAAGATTCCTTCATTTACAGTAAGCTTTACAGTTTATGTTTCCTTTGTTTATGTGTTAAGTAGAGACTTACCACTCAGAAGAATAAAACAAGCTGAAGTCTTTACAAACTTCAAATCTCTCCAGGTGTCGGCTCAATTCGATCTAAATCTTCCGCACGAGTGTCTGACGAGCCTTAGCCGAGCTGAAGGTGGAAAACAATCGGTCAGTCATGCACTTTTTATTACAGCCCTGTTCAAAACACCGGAGGAATTTTTTATTTTTTTCTCCCATTTTAAACTGTTTACCCAGGGAGAGACACTCAGCAGAACACAACAACGAACTCTTTCTCCCTGTAAGAGGAAACATGACAGCTCGCAAGTGAAAGGTCAGCAGTTCAAATCCCAGCAGGAAGACGAAGCTACGCCTGACAAATATAAGATGTTTTTCTTTTTCATCAATAGTATGTGTAATGTACAGACTAACAGCAGAGCTCAAAAAACCTCCATCATTGTGGAAATGTCTCTTTAAATGAAACATGACATCACTAATGAGCAGCACATACAAGTCAGGTTAGACATTTGAGTCAGATGGTAATAATGCTACCGCAAATCTGTAACTGCATTACAAAGCACTTATCTTTCCCTTTTTCATTTATAATATATCTGAACTTTTTGATTCCAGAGGCTGATTTAGTCAAGTTTTGCAGCTTCTTAATGTCGAAAATGAAACCCTACAGTAACTTGCTGTAAGTCAGGAAGACTATATTTCACATTAACGGTTGTTGATTTTCTTTTTCTCATTCATCCCTTTCATTGCGTGCTAACTCACATGTCATGATGTCATCATCTTGGGCTGTATTTGGTAAATCAGCTGTTTCATCAGCTGCTCCCATCTGTCCAATAGCGTGGTGTCTGACCCTCATCGTTAGCCTATCATCTTTCTGCTCCATTTTTAAATATGTTTTTTAGTTCCTTCATGCTGCCGCTATGCCCGCTGCTACACACACCCCTCCCTCTCCCCCGAGTCATCACAGAATCATCATCCATCAATTCATCGTCCATCTGGTCTCAGCAGCTCATCAGCCACCACCAACACCCACATCGAGTGTCCGGACTCCACGGGGGAATTTAACGTGCTGCCGCTCTGTGCAGTCACCCGTCAGTCCAGAGATCGTCTGTCAAGCCATACCATCACATCATTATATAATAAAATGTACAGTATAAACAATATTCTCTTCATGCACCTGTCTCTCTTGATGAACTAACTTACTAAATGGTGATAAACGGTCGTGAGACGTCGTGGTAGTGTTGCATAAATTAGGTGCTTTATTCAGTCAAGGCTGTAAACAACAATCACAACACACAGCCATTTTCACAACAACTAATCTCAAACAGAAACCTATCAAGACACTTTCTACTGTAATTTAAAAAAAACACTCTAATCATGTTTCTTGGAGAGTGGGCTTAAGGGAATTTCAATTTACAGTAAACACTATTCTCTTTAACGTCTTTGTACCAGGCACAACAATGAAAAGTTCTGTTTTTTGGAACACACAGAGGAGGGGTTTGTTCTGGCAGCTTCAGAAGAGTAAATACAGCACACCTGTTTCAAGACATCAACAAAATTAAAGGCTCAAAAATTTAGATTTTCAGATATCAGCAGATATGAGCATTATATAACTATTATGGAATATTTCTTGCAATATGTGCAGACATGATATTATTTTCTTCATACACTAAAAGGCAGGGTTGGTAACTTTTGAAAACTAGCAAGATTTTGAAAGTAGCATTCCCTCAGTGCTCCGTCAGGGAGGCGTCTGATTGGTTCATCAGATTGGTGACCTCGTGGCAGACATTGGTCAAAGTTTTTACAGGCTTACAAACTGCTACAGATGATGGATTTTCTTAGTTCCTTATTCAGAGAACATGAGTTATTAATGTCTGTCAGGACCTAAAGACAAATTCAACCCAAAACTTAAAAAGTGTATCTGGAGAAAATGACCAACCCTGCCTTTAATGCAGAGAACACTGCTGCGGTACTTCGGTATTGTCATAATTGCACAGACATTTCAAATAGGAAAACAGCTATCATCATGTCAGGTCTGAAACTACAATACTCATCTCCATATTGGTTACAGACAGTTTTTCCCCTTAACATTGGCAGAGCATTGGTCTCATAGATTTTCGACTGGGCATGCTCAGAAAAGAATGAAGCAATTGTTTAAAAAAAATAAAAAATAAACCTCAGTTATGTCACTTCTTAAATGAAACACATCCTGCATGACATCATCATGCTGCACCTTAACAACAGTTCCTCACAAACTGAAGGAGAACAGGTACTATCTGTTTAGAAACACAGAGACAAAATGTGACAGACATCGTTGTTTCCTGTCAGCACAAAGGAGAATTGTAGCCGAACAGCTGATTGTCATGTCATAATGTCGTGCTCGTCACAGGCCACAGAGACGTTATAGCAGCAAATTGCACTTGCTGATGTAACAACCACATCCTGTTTTGGATGAATACCACAGCTCCAGAAACAGCAGATTAATGATTTATTGATAGATTTGGGCCTTCTGATGGGATGACGGCATGCATTCACAGGATTTAGGATTTTAAAATACTCAAATACTTCAGACGAGAAATAATTATAGAACCTCATCAGACTTTTTCCCAAACTATCAATACAGGCCGCCAAACAGACGACTAGTCACTTAAATACAGCCTGCTACTTTCTTCTCTTGTTGATTGTCATGAGACAGTCATCTAAATAACAGCCTGAGAGCTGCAGCTGAGGCAGGTCTTAAGATAGATAGATAGATAGATAGATACTTTATTGATCCCGAGGGAAATTCAAAGCATCCAGTAGCAGGTTACAAAGACGTACATGAAACATTTGTTACAAATTAAACCACAAAACCGACGTGTGTGAGTGTGGCAGAAACTGACTGATGCTGCAGCTGATGGTAACAGAACAAAGGTGTGAGTAGGCGTGTCTTTCTCAGCATATCAAAATGGCACGTTTCCTTTTTTTCAAATCTTAAATTGTGACTTTGAACTTCAGTTCTTGAAGGATTAAGCTGAGAAGGTTTATCTTGACACTCTGTTGTGTTACTTTTTAAACAAAAATATCGATATCAGTATCAACGCCAAAAATCCCACATCAGTCTCGCCCTACTGCATAAAGGTTTACGTGTACAAAAAAAGTCTAGTTCCTCCATAAAGACAAACAGTAAAGAGTTCATAAAGTATTCATGTGCTCATTAAACCTTACACAGCTTGAGTTTTGAAAAAAGTGTTCCACGTCTAGAGATATGAAAATATGTCTAAAGACAGACGTGTGGTGGTTGTCAAGGCCGTTCCTCTTCATGAAGACTCGGAATTCAATGGAATTAATTGAAGGTAGAAAAAAACCAAAAGAAAACATGTCAGGTTTAACTAAGAAAGAAGGTTAAATTAAGAAGGAAATGAAGAAGAGGAGACAGAGGATAAAGAAAGGAAGGAGAGGCTGACAACAACACTTCAGTTTAAAAATGCATGAGTCTCCAGCCTCCAGCAGATTGCCTGTGTGTGTGTGTGTGTGTGTGTGTGTGTGTGTGTGTGCGTGTGTGCGTGTGTGTGTGTGTGTGTGCGCCCGGTGTGTGTGTGTGTGTGTGTGTGTGTGTGGAGCAGCGTGGTGTTAGCATTTAACAGAGGCAGAATGAAGAACAGATAAAGAACAGTTTAGCGAGTCGTCTCACATCATGTGCTCATGTTGCACACAACCTGCTGATGTTCTTGAATGTGAGACAGGAAGAGATGCCTCTGTTTGCCTCATAGTAATAATTCACATCAGCTGAAGCTCAGGGAGAAAGAGTCACAAGTCCCATAATGAGGAGGAGGAGGAGGAGGAGATAACAACAGCCGGAACTAGGAGAGATAGAGGAGGAGAGGAAAGAGCAGATGATGAAGCAGGAGGGAAAGATGGGATTTGAGGAGGGGGAGAAGGAGGGGGAAAGAAAGACATAAGCAGGAGTAAAAAAAACAAAGACTGGAACAGAAGAAAAGAAAAGAAAAGCATGCATGCTATAAGATGTAGCAAGAGGAAAATGGCAAGAAAAAGGAAAAGAAAGGCTACAAATGAAGAAGCGGTCCGAGTGTGTTAATGTGTTACTGCTGTTAAAAAATGAAGCCAAAGTGTAAAAGCAGACTGCAATACCTCAAGTGTCCACATGACGCTGGCTCCAAAGTCAAGGAAACCTCATTCAGTCCCATACTAAAATGCATTTCAGCAGAACACAACATGTTTTTTGCCTGGTTTAAAAAAAAGAAACACATTTTGTGTCAATGCCTCATTTCTTCATTGACATTTTGCAACTCATTGGTTTTGGTTTTGTTTTTTTTTAACCCAAAGAGTTAAGCATACTAGGAGCACTGCTCAGTGGACTGACAGGTGAATGTGTTGCAGCAGTTTGATTTTGACACACTACATACTGCTAAGCAGAGAGCGCACCAGAGCCTTTAGGGGTTCGGTGCCTTGCTCAAGGGCACCTCGGCAGTGCGCCGGCACCTCTCCAGCGAACGGACCAACTTCCATATTATGGTCCGTACCCGGACTTGAACTGGCGACCCTCAGGTTACTGCCACTGACAGGAGGCTTAAGGCACACCTCAAATCCACTTCTAAGACTCTTTCTAGACTGATTGAAAGTTAGGTTGAGATAGCATTTTTAATACGGTGACTGCCATCCTTCGGCTTCAACACTTCTTTAGAAACTGCACCTGTAACTCCTCTCTCCTCCATCCTCACCTCCTCCATCCTTACCTCCTCCAGATTCTTTTAAGGAATTGGAAGATCCTTAATGGTGGTGGAGGAATGATTTCTGGGTCAGTCGAGGAGAGAGGGCGCAGGTATGCTCAAATTAATGTAATGACACAGGCACCCAATAGCTTACTTATTGTATGAAATCTACTTTTCTCTGGTGCACTGTTTGGCACATAGTTCAGCTGCAGCTCTCTTTTAATTTGATTGACTTTACATAATTTGCAGCCATGTTGATAAAATCATGCACTTCTGCACATCTTGAAAAATGATGAGGGGGAACACTCCTAAATGTATTTAAATCAAAGCCCTCCGTGATCTGAATAGTAGTAATTCAGACCCCCCGTGGATTCAGATCTAAACCACCACAGTCGTAAATAATTAAATCCTCCTTCAAACTATT